TTGAGGTTAATTGCTAGGGTGGTGATGGGCAAAGGTAATTGCGCATCCGATTCCCGTAATCATAAAATCTGGCAGGGTATCGACTGATACCGGTGCCGAATTGGAGGTGCACGACTGTACTCGAACATGACTGATAAAAGGATAAGGCTTTTTGGCGGGTCATATGCGGGTATGGTCAACGTTGGGTTCACAGGGCACTTCAGGGCTTTTGTATCGGCGACAAAAGCTGCGAGTCAGTAGAGTCTAACTGGGCGCGAACGCACAGTGAGTTCATTTGACAGCTCTCTGTATGGCTGCACTCACTACGTTTTTCTAGTAGAAAGGACCTCAGTTGACGTGGAACGTAGAGATTGTGCTGGCACACTCAAGATGTATTTATTTATTTACAGTATATCGCCAATACTGATATCGGGCCCATGAACCGACTCGGTGTACTTCACCTAGCACGTCTCTGTAGCCAGGACTCTTGTCTCACAACATTATACTAACAGCACTTTATATTAATTGGTATGGTTTTGACAGTTCACACTGGAGAAGCTGAACGACACTGCGAAGCCTTGTAGATAAACTTAACAGAATACTGTGCTTCAAAAGTAATTCGGAGCTTAGAAAGAGGCAATACTATATATATATATAAACATGTTACTGTATCTTGTACATGCCTTAAAGAGCAACCGGTGTCTCAGTCGGACCCCAAATAACCCTGTATATATAAAAGCATGACTCTGAATATGTAGTCTAGCCATCGCATCAGCCTTTTTCGGTGATCACGTTGAATACTTAGATCTGTCTTTATGTCGGGAGCATTAACATTAGAAAAACTACAGTGGCTTGCTGGCTCATTACAAACTGTTTCGAACTGCCAAAGAGTTATGGGGTGTTAAATAAGCCAATGTTGAGCCAAGATTAGATTATTCAATACATCGTGACTCGTTTAAAACCGTTTGGAAGATTCAGTGATTACTGCAGTGCCGCTTTCTAAAATCAAGGTTTACAAAGAAAATATGTGCATCAAGGTATTGTCTACTTCGGCAAGTTTTACTTTTTTATCACGATAAGATAAATATCTCAGCCTACGCGGGATCCTAGTTGAGCGTTCAAGAAATTTGTTGGCTTGGGCTTACAACGTTAGTTGGACTCTGTAAATCAAGCGTTGGGTAATTTTGTTTTTGAACGACTCGCCTCGTTGAGAACAAACACGATGCACCATTGCACACACTATCGTAGTTAAACAAAATGCTTCTAGGCCATTTCCGCTGTCCTCCCAGCCTAACGCAATCATCCTAGTCTATAAGCATTTTTTTAATTCAATTACCGACGACATTTTATGCTGGACACCGGAGTCCTGCCAAACGCTTCATTAGCTCAAACCAAAAGAGAACCGATTGCTTTAAGTCATTCAATATCATCACTTGATGACTCTATTTCGTGTCGGAGTCACTGAATGGTGGGCATGCCCGAAGAAATATCAATAATGGGGTGGCTAGCCCTATAAAATATATGCTTTTGTCTTGAGAAATCTCGATATGATCACCAACTGCACAAATTCATGCAAATACGCTCTTAAGCGGTGATAATACCTGGTTAACTTTTTTTGGGTCGTATTCGGACATGGCCTGGATTCTGGTCGGGCATGCATTCTGCGATAATTCCAGCATTATCGAGCGTTCTGTCGATAAAATAAGCCAACCCAACAGTCGAAAGAGCGATCAGACCCCTACTTTGAGCTTGACAATCATTCCAATGACGACACTGACTGCTGGGTGGGCGGTAAATCGAAAAATGACGGATCACAACGGGTGTCGCAGGTAGTCAACGACAAGGGACTAGTTACTCCTAACACTTCGTTGGCCCATGAATGCGTAAAACTGGTAAATGAAGCGAATTACGGGCTGTGACCGCATCGTTTGAATTTAGGCTTAAATAAACTATCCGACCTAAATCCAGGTCATGTCTGCATACGACCCAAGAAAAAATCTTCCATAAATCATTATGTCGCTATTACCGAACGCTCCTAGTTGTAGGCTGAATAATCGATCTTTTCACTCTGTACTTATCTGCGTTTGCATTGCAAGATCGTGATTCTATACAGCCCTCTTCCATGCCGATTCACAACTGGGATCCGCTACTTGTCGAACATATCTATCTACTAAACCTAAAAAGAAAAAAAAATGCTGTGAAGTAAAAAAAAAAAAAACTTGTTCGATTTTTTTTTTACTTCTAGTGTAGAAACTGATGTTCTCTGTTATTGGAACTAGCTGTCTACCACGGGTTTTCCGTGGTAAAGATGTTAACCAGAAACTCATCAGCTAGCGACTTAGAACGGATAGGCGCCCTCAAGGTTGTCTAGGAAGTTCTCCTCATTGAAGGGTACCGTGGCTTCTCCAAAGTCATTGAGATTCAGTGCAGTGCGTGCAGCCTTGGGCATGTCTTCCCACACGACCAAATCCTGGAATTCTCCGGCCTCCGTTGTGACGTTGACGTAGTGACTGAAAGCATCTTCTTCGTACTTAAACTTGACGCTGGTTTCGTCGTCAACCATGTCTTCAGTCGGATCTTCAATGGTGAAGTACTCACCATCGTCGACTTCTGCTGACACGGCTTCGATCGTAGCATCGTCGCCCCCAGTCCTGTCGAGCCATAGAATGGCGTGTTCCCATGCGTGGCGGTGGCCAAAAGCACCTCTGCGGTCTCGAGGAAAATACCAGGCGTACATGATAGCGTACGAGCCCTCGTAAACGGAAGCACGAGCATAAATTTGAGAGCCGAGAGAAGGGTTTTGGCAGCTTTTAAGACTGACCAGGGAGAGGCCGGCGTTGGTGTTGCCGTCAGCATCAACGGCAGGGTACGGGTGACAACCGGTGTCGACGAGGAGTTGGGGCTTAAACTGGAGTGCAAGCGAATACTCGTTCGTGGAATCCTCGGTTTCCGGAAGCGGAACTACGCCATCATAGGCCAGTTCTTTGGCTTGGCTGCAGGCGAGAATACCCGCCATAGCGACAGTAAGACGCAGCATCATCGTTCTTGGTCCCTGATGAATTGGAAAGTGAGAAACTCAGCGCTAGGCACAGGTTTTAACGGTGAGCACATCCAGATCTTACTCCCAGCTGCATCCCGTGAGAGAAGTGCGGTTATCTCCATGAGATCTGCAAGTGTATTTGCCTGGAGTTGAGTTGTGTAGAATTTTGGTGCCACCGCGCAATCTATTGAGCACTACAGTGGCGAAATCGTCGTGCTAACGGCTCACCGTTGTACACTAAGATACCGCAGTTACATGGACGGAAAGAGAGAAAGCTAGACATATTTTCCGCCGTCACAATAAGCAGAGGAACCACTACGGCGAATTCAAGCCGTGGGATACACAGCGCACGTATTTTTTGAGCAGTAACGTCGGTTTCGATTTCGGCAAGATTACCGTCGAAGGGAAACCTACTTGATCACGCTTTCATTTCCAGTTGTGCCCACAATGTGGGCCACACGGCATGTCATCACACTGGAAGTGATGACACATACGATTTACTAAAAGTATCGTGTTACGAGGGCTCTTGGTCGAGAGTATCGAGCTCCGACGCACAGGCGTTTTGAATGATTTGTTGCTTCTGGACCCCGGTAAAGTGGCCTTGTTACTAAGATTTTGGTGGCCTATTGTACCGTCGATACCGCAAAACTGGTCATGGTAGTGCCCAGGGTGGGACAAGAGCGCATCATCAATGGATTATTCCGATTAATTAGTGGATTCATCTTCAATTACCATGATAGTGATTTAAAATGTTGCTTCACCATCGAGTTAGTGAATGGGAGTCCAAAGTTGAATGCATTTATAAAGGGGCATGGATTGTAGATCAGTTCAAAACCTCAAAAAAAAAAGAAAGATAATTATCTACTTCGAAGTAGTAATATATATATTAGTTATAAAATCCAGTAAAATAGTAATAAATTAATATGTATGTTAATCTAATTATATGATAGTTCCTAAAGAATTAGCAACTTTGATGGAGCGCAGTCGTAGAACCTGTATCTGGAATGAACCTTTAAAATAACCTGATTTTGTTCTGCCGTTTAGAACTTGTTACGGCGACATCAAGGACGTAGCGTTGCGTCCTATATGCGAGGAGCCAATTCATTTATCTAATTTACTTATTTAACGTCCTTACGAACGCTATGTGGTGCGACTGGCTCTTTGGTTTTGGTGATGCAGGCCATTCAATTCGTCGTACATTTCGACGGGGGTCCAGAGTCTGGACCGATGTTTTTTTTTGGGTCTCCAGACCTATTCCGCACAGGAGTTTTCCCAATACAGGGACCACATCTGGCTAATATTCCCAAAGCAGGGACCAAGTCTCAATGCAGGGAGATGAAACCAATTATAATGTGGACCACTGACAAAACAACAACCTATCAGGGCAATAAGCGGATCCCAGTGGTGCAGAAAAAGATTTCAGAAGCGCTGATCACTTTCCCTCTGTCACAGAACACAGCTCGATCTTCCAATTCTATCCCAGCTTGACGACACTGCTAAAAAAAAAAACACAAAATATTCTTTTCATTTTCTACATTCATCATTGCGGTGGCGAGAGTCACATTTTGGTTGTTTCCATCCCTTCCTAATAGAAATAGCACCACACCATTGTAGTTAGAATGCTTTGAATGTCCACCATCAAATCCTAGTAACGGAAGTAATCCACTTTGAGCTTGGATATTCACTCCAATAGCAAGAAAGCACCGCAAAACCCGGTCATGTTGATCTACTTCAAGACAAACGTGTGTGCCCCCATTAACGTCCTGTAGATCGGCCAGCATCGACGGTATACCAGCAAAAGACTTGATCAAATCTCCTGCCAAAACCTTTGCTATCTTGTCTTTCACACGATAAAACGTTGAACGTCGTCGTTGTAAGTTGACGAGGTCGCCTGCTCGGACCAAGGCCACAACCGCTTTGCGCTTTAAAGACTTAGCACTCGTCACAGCCGCAATCAGAGCAGGTAAACATGCCATTTGCCGCCAGTTAGGTTCGGCAACAGAGGCACAGAAGTCATTGTGTCGAGTGTTGAGATTCGAAACCGACATGTACGCTCCATTGGCCTCCTTCTTCCGCGTACTTGTCACTTTTCAATCACACCCTTGCCCACTGCACATGTACGTCTTGCTTTTCCCACCTGAGTTTTTTTCTTGATGCACAACTTGTTTTCATTGTACATGTAGTCCTCGAGGTATTCCGTTGCACACTTAATGGATTGAAATCGTTGATGTTTTTCAAACAAAGAAGTCCCGCATTTTGTCTGTAAATCAAACACAGTTCTTGTGGATGGCATCATCGTGCACCGTTGCTTTAGGTGGTTAATGAGGACTGAGGGAGCGGTTAGGACCTGAAGCGTAGTTGGTTTTTAAAGTGGAGTTGCTAGTGGCGGGTGCTGTAGCTTGCTTTCTTCGTGATGTCGCTGTAGGCGTATCCGGTGTAGTAGCTCGTGACAGAGCTGATGTCGCTGAAGAAGACTGGCCTGTCGTCGAATAATGGAGCTGTAGTGGCTTGAAGCGTTGCAATTCTTGTTGGCGGTAGTGCTAGTAGATGATAGATGCTGACGGTCGAGTTGTGGTCGGTGGAGTATGAGTAGATGCTGGTTACCGGGTTGTAGTTGCTGAAGAAGCTTCAGTTACTAGATGCGGCGCTGTACTTGTTCAACTGAGGAGCTGTCGTCGACAGCGGAGCTGTAGTTGTTGTATGCGGTGCGATGTTGTTGAATAAGAAGAATTACTAGCGGTGGTGCTGCAGGCACTGGCAGGGGAACTCTTGCTGACCAAAGAGCTATGTTCCAAGGACGGGTTGTTGTCGCTCTTTAGGTTGTCTCATCGATTCTGGTCTGTCAGTGGTCCACATTATAATTGGTTTCATCTCCCTGCATTGAGACTTGGTCCCTGCTTTGGGAATATTAGCCAGATGTGGTCCCTGTATTGGGAAAAGCCCCTCCGCACAGCGCGCATAAAATGGATAATCTGACAGTATTAATACAAATTAACCTCCCTTAGCTAATACAAACCGTGGAACAACTTTTGATCAAGTTTAGCAAGTTGATCGTGTTAAAGCGGTTGGTGTGGTGCACATTCCTGGAATTTAGTGGGATTTGAACGAAATATTTCAAAGCTAGAAATTTATGGAAATATCTGATGATACTCCAGACTTTCCACGGCATCCTTGTTGTGACCCTTTTCAGAAACTGATTTCCGATAAAATCGGCTTAGAATGGGCGAACACGTGATTTCATGTCGATATATATCAAGATTCCTACTAGCAGTGAGTAAAATCTTTTATTTTGACAGCATTTGCCGGCACACACGTTGTATCAAGTTTCAGTTTGGACAGTATAACCAGGGGACTTTACAAAAAACAAGTCTACGAGGTCGGTGGAACCAAATCCTATCAAGTACGACAGGATATCACGATATGCAAGCTCATCGTAGACAGGTTGGTTCAGTAATTAAGCCCACAAATGTTCGAAAACCTTTATTGCATTAAAAATATCGCGTCTGAATTCTCATGTACTTAACCAGATGAATACATCTAGAACAGAGCCACGGAAAGAAGAATGTGGTTGCTCCAGTTAATGTTAGACACTCGAGAAAAGCGTTTTCGATAGTCAGTGTAGATAGTGGCTTTGAGTCCTACTTAGTACTGCTAGAACGGATATGCTTTTTCGATGTTGCTTTGAAACTTTGCGTCGTTCATTGGCGCCTGAGACCAGAAGAATTTTGTGCTTCCCAGCGCATCTTGTGCTGCATCAGTCATGTTGCTCCACATGGCCAAGTCTTGAAATTTGCCAGCTTTCGTGGTGGCTGACAGATAATGCTGAGTTTGAATGAGCCAAGTGTACTTGAGCTTGACGCTGGAGCCGTCCATGTGTTTTGCTCTTGGAGGCTTGTATGTTTTGTAGCCAAGCAAGTGCTGCGCCGTCACCGCGAGCAGCTCAGCGCTGGTGTCCAGGCTGTCCAGCCACACAATGGCGTGCTCCCAGTCATGACGATGGCCGACCCACATCGGCGAAACCATGTAATCTCTCGGGAAGTACCAGGCGTACATGATGGCCACTACACCTTCGTATTCGGTTACCCGGCCGTACACTTGCGAGCCCAAGGGCGATCCCTTGCACGAAGTTAGAACTTCGGTAATTCCGAGGCCAGCATTGGTGTTACCGTCAGCGTCAACAGCAGGGTACGGGTGACATCCGTTGCTGATATGTAACTGCGGCTTGAACTTCAGTGCGACCTTGCTCTCGGTCGTTGTGGGTAGAACCTCGGGGAATGGAGCCACTTCGTCGTATTCAAGCTTCACGGCTGGAACGGAGGCTAAGCAGCTTAGGGCAACCGCGCAAAAAGCTAAGAACTTCATTCTTATTTGACTGCGAAACTTGGGATCAAATGGGAAGTGAGCAGGAACGATAAATCGACGGCCCCCAGCGTAAGACCTTCGTACTAACAGTAAGTGGATTTGATTGTGGCCAATTGGAGGTAGTAAATAAGCTTCCTCCCCGGCGTTCATTTCTGTAGAAGACAAGATCCTTCAATGGAGAAGGTGAATGATGAGCTTCCATCCAGTGCAGGATTACAAAGGAAATCCAGAATGAAGCCCATACTTGTATCAGATAGACACCATAGGCCAAAACGTTGCATTGCATCAATTTTTTTTTTCCCATCTGGTTTGTTTACCCCAACGCTATGGTACATCGAATAATGCAATCGCTTCAAGTCTTACAGAACTCTCCCTCGATAACCGTAGCTCGGGCTTTGATTACCTGCCATATCTGCTGAAAATGATTTTACAGAATATAAATGTTTTTGGATTCAGTTGCTAGTATTCCTCTGAAATAATATATATAATGTCCCACCTACGCAGAGAATATAGACACAATATGGGAGGACGGATGTCATGGGGCTGCAAATTTCGGAAATTGGAGGAGTTAGGAGGTATTCTATCACGCTGCCTAAACCCAAATCTGACCTTCCTGCGCATCAACCCTATAGAGCTGAGCGGATTTTGGTCCTGCTTAAACCTGGGTTTAAGCCTGTGTGTTGCGCACCGGATCTTAAACCACCAGCATGGATTCATGTAGCCGAGCGAGTTGGCTTTTACCTCCTCCTGTTGGTTTTCGTACAAGTTAGATAAACGAAAACCGCGAATGTAAGTAATCATGATTGCAACCTCTCCAACACTTTTACCAAAGATGTTTGTGTCTGACCAGACATAGGAGTTAACTTGAGACAGAATTCAACATGGTTGCTGATCCAGACTGGTATCATAAAAGAGCCAATTTGCCGCTGTTGGCAAGCATTGGTACGTAGCTTCCAGCGAGCGTTGAGCGGGTGCTGTAGTATGATTAAGGGCACTAGTGGAGAGGCTACTCGATCCTCCAAACCGAGCAACATTATGATCAAGGGGAAGGAAACAGCGTTGTTGTGTTTTCGGACGGGCCCTGAGTTGAGTCTCTGTACAGAAATAGCCGTTATTAGGCCATTAACAAGGGCATTTATTCCCTTATTAAGGACAACAGATGGCTCCCAGTCTGGAGCAGCAACACGTGCCTTAACATATTCCATTGTCGAGTCACAGGCACCTTCAGTGCGACGGACACGATAGGCAGCATGGCATAGGAAGTACGGACGAGCAGCTTTTCTTTAAATAGCAAATGCTTCAAACAGCATTTTCCTGTTCTCTTGTTTGTGAGTGGTAGTGCGAGGATATACCCCACAAGGTGGTGGCAAAGCGCAGACAAGTTTTCTGTGACAACCTCTTAGCCCAAGCTGTCGTACCATATATGCCGCATAATCATAGTTTATACGCATTATGATTATGTTGGCGGCTTCGACACTGTGAGCTTAGAAGGTTTGCCTGGTTAGATAGAATCTATAAGCTCCTTGCCACACAGTAGTAATTTGAAGTACTCGCAAGCACGCTCGGAAAATTATCTCAATCTACACTTCTTGTGCCCTTATTTACCTAGCTGAATCTCATCGATATTAATCTACTCCGTCCCGAATGTGGTGGTGTACACCTCTTGTGCCTTATTTACCAAGCTGAATCTCATAGTTATTAATCTACTCCGTCCCGAATGTGGTTTCTGAAATGGATTTTAGAGAACGTTGGCCTGCCCACATCTTATTCTTCAAACATTGCTTCAATTTTATATTTTTTGCCTTTGTAATTGAATTTCATAGTGAGAGATACTTCGAAAAAGCACTGTGGACTTATCACAGAATAATCATATCCTCCACTTTTGCAAATGTCCACTTGGAAGTTCAATTCGTCGCGTTTACTTACCGAGCTATCTGCTCGATATCGTTATAAACCACAAGCGGTTGAACTCGGCTGTACAAGCTTACGACAGTTTGCAGTTCGGCTCGTCACCGTCCTCATTTTCAGCCTCAGAAGCGTTCTCCATTTCTACTATATCATCTTCTTGAAATGTTTCCGGGTTGATGCTGCTAGTCGGTTCCGCAGCCACATTGGGGTGGGTGTCACTTAAAGCCTGGGTCCTGCGCTTAATCAGTGCCCCATACACGCGCCCAACAAACAGGGTTCTCTCGGTTGTTCCTACTTGAGAATTCATCCTTGCAGTCCTTCGTCCACAATATCCTGAATGGGAACCAACACAGGTCTGCTTGTTGGGGCATTCGCTTCCTTTAGGACAATCAGCAACGCGGAATTGCGGGTTAAACCAGCAAACCTCAGCAAAAGAATGCGACTTAACGCAGTTAGCGTTACCGCAAGCATCGAAGTCCTCGCAAAGAAGCTTTTTATCCTTGAGAAACCCTTTAGGAATAGACCCCTTGTCGTGGTCAAAGACGCACCGCGACTGACATTGAGTGTCAGAAGAAATCGGGCATTTGAGTATCATTGCAAGGGGATTAGATTCCAGGGCTTCCAAGCGAGAGTGAGACTCGGTACATGTTTCAACACCAACGTGATTCTCACACTTAGTGCACAATCGTGCCTTGGAGACCACCTTCATGTGTTCTAGTACTTGTTCGTACTTGACCCGATCAACATCGGAGCATTTGTTTAATGCTTCGTCGTAACGGAGCATATAGCTGTGACCTTGTTGCTTTAAACGCAGAAAGGACTCATCAGTACCTCCAACGTCCGTTAGAGATACCTGCTGGGTGACTTCACTTAACTCGCAACTTGGTACACCTTCAACGTCTTCACGGCTCTGTAAACATGTTGTCTTGGAGGCCAGTACTGAAAATGTTCGCGAGATAAAGAGTGCTGATTCAGTTTTTCCAACCGTGTTGTTCATGATCGGGTCTCTTTTTTCGTGATACTCGCTGTGATACAGCGAACATTTTTCCTTTCGCTTGCACGAATCTCCTTGAGGGCATTTGTTCACTCGAAATATGGGGAAAAACCAGCAGATTTCTGCGATCGAGTGCGACTTCGTACAAGTTTCATCCTCACAGTTCTCCATTAACTCGCAGAGCAAATTTTTCGTCTTGAGAAAGTCTTTAGGAACGGGTTTATCTCCGTGGTGGAATATACAAAGGCCCTTTTCGTGAATGAAATCGTCGCGACAATCCACTGGAGTGGGGCATGTCAGCACTATCGCCAAAGGATTAAAAGATAACGCCTCAATGACACTGTGTGACGAGGCGCACAGATTCGTGCTGTCGTCTTGCTTGTAGTGTTCTCCATTCATACACATTCGCGCTGTCGGCACCATCTGCATTTGACTTAGCACACGAGTGTATTTCTCTTGGTCCAAGCTCGAAATCTGCATCTGACTCACACGCTTCTTGTGATATTTGATCAAATCAGAGGGTCTAGTCGCCAATTGGTTTCGTTGCGCACATGCAGTCGGGGATTTATTTGCTTTCGCCTTCGACGGTGATGGTAACGGTACCTTTCTCAATGCCTCAAAGGTGCGCTCGGGAAATAGAATTCGTTCTGCAACCCCAATGTATTCCTTGGTTCCTGGAATTCTCTTTTTCTTGTGGAATTCTTTATGGAACGCACTACAATTGCGTTTCCATTGGCAATCGTTTCCTTGAACGCATTCGTCGGTCCTGAAGTTCGGGTTAAACCAACAAACTTCTGCCAAAGAATGCGATCGGAGACACTCAGGATTCTTACAACCAGCAAGACTCCAGCACAAAATCTTTTTACACCATCGGAAGGTCCCAGCGCCTTTAAAGTCGCCGTGATTGAATAGACAGCATTTGTTCTTGTGCGCAGAGTCATGCCACAAAGTTTTAGGAACCGGACACTTGAGCGTCGCAATAAGCGGATTAAAAGCCAGTGCCTCGAGCGTACTGTGCGACTCCCCGCAATCAGCATTACTGCACGAAATTCCGTTTACACAAACTCGAGCTTTAGGTACCTTTTCCATGTGCATCAGAGTGTCCTCATATTTTGCCCGTGAACTGTCGATCAAGTACTCTCTGTAGTAAGTAGCTAAGTTAATCGGCTGCTTTGCTGCCACAGGAGAGTATTCTCCACCGCGCGATTCAACTTCTTCAGGCAAATTCGTAATGTCTGAACCTTGGGATAACTGTTCACTGGAAGTGACAAATATTCCGCTTTCTTCTCCAATTTTAATCTCCACTGGTAGCTCGTCATTTGCATGGGGCGGGGCTGATGGTTCTTTCCTCGGGCTAGTGCTCGGGCTAGTTGCATCGGCGACTGTTTCTCGCTTTTTTGGGCTTTTCTTTCCACTAGCTTCCAACGTGCGCGCTAGCTGGACAGCTTGGCAAGCTTGAAAAACTACTGGCAGCGTCTCAGCCATAGCACCCACTGCCCCGCAAAGCTCGATTTGTTGACAAAAACTCAGTTTTCCACGGTTGTGCGAGGCGTAATTCCCAGTATTTAAGAACACAAACAGCGCAGCCTTGAGGCGCTTAGTCGTCTCCTTGAAGTCCTCACCTTTGCCAGATGAATACGATTCTTCATCATACACAATATCCGAATACATCATCCGGATTTGCTCCAGAAATGGCTGCATACATTCCACCACGAGGCGTCCTAGAAAAAGCTTCTTGTCTCCATTCTTTCCTCCCGGTGAGGCCCCTGGGATCGCGTGTACGCCCAATGCTCGGACATTTAGCGCCTCCATATACAGAGGCAGCAGTTTGTTCAGCGTCGTACGGGCGTCGTTGCCTTCTCCAGTTTTGATGTCTACTTGGAGCTCTGCAACTAACGTTTTAGCTCTTGTGCAGGCCTCCTCCTCTCCCACCCACTCGATCAGGCCTCGATGCACTTCAGGACGTGCAAAGAGCTCGTCGATCATGGCGTTGAGGCCTGACTTCGGGGGAGAAGAAGGTGTTTTAGTCACGGTTGAGAGCTGTGCACAGACTTCGTCCTGGAGTTTGTGGAGTATTCGGAGCTGGTCGGATTGGGCCACGACAAACTTGGTGATTGCATTGTCGAACTGCATGCGAAGGACGGCGTCCGGGCCAGCGGCAGGAGCATCCGAGGCTTGCATCGTCAACTGCTGTCTTCGTTAGGGCGACGTCGATGTAAAAAAAGACTGTAGCAGATGATTGGCCCAATTTCTTTTTAATCTCTTAGAGATCATATCTGACCTCAAACAGTTAATTCACTATCGATTTCCATTGCTGTACAGTAATGTAATCCGTTTCGCGGGGGTAGACCCTATAGGATTTGCGAACACATCAGGTTTGAGCACATTTACTATTATGCCTTTCACTTGTTTTGGCGGGGAACGATCTGTGAACTTAGCAGGTATCGCACCGTCGCTGGCTTTTGTGGTTATGCTAATACGAAACTTGTACAAACGGAAGATTACAAAACTAAGTGTACGCTTAACCCTTTCGCGAACAAGGGGGCAAAATGCCCCTGTTCACCTGAACACGGTACTGCGTCCCAGTGTAAATATTATAGTATCAAATTGCAATATTTGATCGTCGGTTTATGAAAAGGGGCAAAATGCCCCTTCCCGCTTGCCCACGGTACCACCAGTTTTATTTAAGATTTATTCTAGGACGTATTTTGTCCAATCATAATGGCTAATTCAAAATAAACAAGTTCTCTGGATATTTATATCCAGAGTTTTAGGGGGGATCGGAAAGCCTCGACGATCCTGTCAAATAACATTTTATGTATATATCTGTAATTATTTGAAACCTAAGAGCGAATATTTATATACTAAAATGACTCAGAAACTAATAAACTGTTTTCTTGTATGCCCACAAGGGTGAATGTTGACCCTGTCGGCCTAGAACAACATTCAACCAACCTTGTACGAATGTAATCCAGTCACATTCAAGCTACCTTATGGCTTCAACTTAGGGATCGAAGCAACTAGAACTACGGAGCAGTTAGTAAATACAATCACACAAACGTCATGCGTCCAGCTTCAGATATACATGCATCTTGATGCAGCATGTACTCAATACGAAATTAACACTGCGATACGTTTGAAATTGATTTAGAGACGGCAACCATCAAATTCTCAACTAAGAAAAGTAAAAAAAGTCCAATTGTCGCTGGCGAAGTGGGGGCCATCCTTATTCGCGCTTCAGTTTCTTCCTATTGACAAATATTATATTATTAAATATTGAGTATCCAAATATCCAAAGCTTCCCGGGCGCAGCACGGCATTAGTAAATATATAAGAATAAATATTCAAAGTATAGATTTAAAGTTTCAGCAGAAAACAATGACGACATGCACGTATCCAGAGGAGATACAGGTGGGGTACCGCGAAGAGGGACCTCAAGTTGCTCCAGCGAGCTGAGCTTCACACGAGTAGATACCTGTACTGATCCAATCATCTCTTCCATGTCGAGGCGCCTTTGAAAACGGAACAAGCCGAGATGACTCAGTTCAGCGACGCTCGCAATGCAACCCGTGTAAATGATTTAAATAATGTAAACACACGAAATATATTGCGTAAAGTAAGTACTGTATAAATTGATTACAAGTACAACATGATCAAACACTACTTGCAGGTACGCTGCCGAGGTATGCTGACCATCCTGCTAAGCTTGATAGTCTACGATATGGCGACAAGCCAGTATCAGCCACAAATCGTATCACACACCCTATTCCGCCGGAAAGATGGTGCCTCGAAGCAAGCGCGGTCTTGCTAGCGCACTGAGTGGCTCAACAAAACGAACAAGAAGGCAGATAGCACCCCCTCGCAGTCAAGACAAGGCCGAGGCCAAGATCGATAACTCCACGTTTTTCAAGGCTGTATGGAGAGAGCTTCGCGCCGACGGGTGGTATCACAACCAGCCACCACGAAGAGCGAGTGATTCTTTTTATTGTTATATTCGTCCAGGGGCTAGCTTAAAAGACCAGAAAGGTGTCGACTTTTTTTGTTGGTGAACAAGCGTTGTTGACGTTCTATTTGCGAGAGATCGCTGCTCGGGTAGATGAAGGTCAGTTTGCTCATAAATTGCCTTGGAGTTTTTCTAACATTTCAGTTTTGTTCGCCGCTGAAAACAATTATTTAGAGAAAGTGTTGCCAAATGCAGCCTCAGTACCTCAACACGAAACGGACATGATTATCAACGAGCCAGGTGCACAAGGCACTGGTGCTCGCAGTGCCTCCCAAAGTGAGGACGTCAGTATCTGCTCCGAGGGCGAGATAAGCGACGACTCAGATTGGGCAAGCAGCAACGCGTTTCAACAAGAACACACCACCCTGAATTTACCCAACAGCAACGATCCTGTAACGACTGCTGGCACGACGGATCAAAACCAATTTACACCGTACCGTAGTGACGAGGTCAACAATGATGTCGTACAAGGTAAAACTAGCATTTAGTATTTATGCCAGCAAACCAAATATTTGTAGTAACGTGTTTGTTTGACCATGCAACGCCTAGGTGTTTCAGTAATCCAATACCATCGGCTCCCGACACTCGGTGGAATTGTTACGCCAGTTCATCAATCCGAGACGCATCCAGTTGAGGTGACACGGCGACGTGCCGTTGAACACTCCAATCATGGCGATGCTGCCGCTACTGAAGCAACAAATACCTCACAAAACAATAGTATCGCCGATACGGCAGGAGGTAACGTTTAGCATTAGATCTATTGCGAGAGTGTGCTTCATGTATCTGACATTGTGTTTTATATATTATGTTGATAGCGGAGGCACATGAGACGATGCTGTCATTGTATCCAGCCACTCGTGATGCTTCTGGACCTGCTCCATTTGTACCGTCGTTCTACGTCAACACGCTTGTGGCTTTTGCACCATCACGTGAAAGCTGAATGAAAGCGAAGGTCTACAAGAAAGTTGGAACAGCGTACATTGTGGGACGTATTTGCACTACCGTCAAGCCGAAGAATACAAAAGGAAACAAGAACAAGAATCGGAAGACGACATCAAGCGAAAAAACACCACTGCTTTTCCAAGTGCAATGGATTGATTCGCAGTTTCAGTCTGAGCCCGAGGTCATCTCGCTTAGCTTGGTGCAAAAGGGTCACGCCAACTACAATCTTCTCATGGCAACGTCGAACACCTCATATTGGCAATCGCTGTGTGAAGCTGGTGATAACGCACTATATATCGATGATAGTATTGACGAACTGCGGGAAGCTCCGATTTCCTACTGCCCCCAGCAGTTGCTTCCCACGAGTTTGGCAAAGGTCGAAGCTATCAAGAGCATGAGGTTCGATCCAACCGCCTCCATGACCCAACCAGATTCTCTATTTCAGCGAGATGACGGCTCGACTAGCACCAAGCTTCGTCCTGAGTTCAGATACATTTTCGAGCATTTAGCATCTGCCAGCTTCTTTGCCTATCTACCTCTGTACTTTTGGCAACAAGTATTACATGAAACCAATGCGTACGCGCAGGTGCACCAGTTATCTATCGGCGAGCCGTTTGTGCTGCAGGAGATCATGACCTTTTTGGGCATCTTGTTTTACATGGAGATCACAGTGAAAGGAGAGTACGCGAATTATTGGGGTCGACAAGCAGAAGAGGGCATGTTTGGAGTCCCGAGCCTGGATCTGGAAAACATCATACCTCTGAAAAGATTCAAGCTACTGCGCCAAGCTTTTTCCTTTCGCAGTGATATTAGTATGGAGGTTATTCAACGTGATCCCGCTGCTCGAATCCGGACCTTTCTGAATGTGTTGAAGGTGACAGGAGGCAAATACGTTGACCTCGGCCGTGATCTGGCACTGGATGAAGCAAGTGTTGCTTGTCGATCGCGCTTTGGTCGGCATCTTATCGTCTACAATCCTCGAAAGCCTGGTGGCAAATACCATTTCAAGTTGTATATGCTGTGCTGTGCTACAAGCTGGATTGCAGTCAATTACCGGCTTCACTGGGAAAGTGTGCTGGAGGATCGCTTGAGAGGTTTGACAGATTCAACCGAGGCTCAAGCCCTTGGAAACGAGCTTTCGGATGGCGCTCAGATTTGTCAGATTGTGCTGGAAGTTGTCCGTCCGATATACGCTTCCAACCGAGTGGTCAACACTGATAATTTCTACACCTCAGTCCAGCTACTGCAAGCACTGAAGCTGAAGGGTTTGTTCGGCCGAGGCACGGTTCGGGGAGCAAGCAAGCACTTCCCCAAGCATGTCATGCTAGAAAAGAACATGAGCATCAGATGTGAGTACCGCCAAGGCGTCTCGGTTGTTCATCCAATGGTAGCGGCGTTTTGGTGTGACGGAAGTATCGTCAGTATTGTATCTAACCCTGATGCGTCAGAAGCAACAACCGTTCGTAGACTGGTATCGAGCGAACACCAAGAATTTGAGGCGCCGACGGCTGTCAAGAACTACAACACACATATGCAGGGAGTCGATCGGTTGGATCAACTTCGAGCTCGGTTTTCAATTGCAGACAGCCATTCGTTTCAGAAGTGGCATAAGAAATTAGCGATGTCACTCGTCGATGTCGCTCGCTGCAATGCTTACTTGACTCGCAAAATGGTTGACACCCCGGCAAGTACTCGCGACCCCCATCGCAGCTTTATGATGGAGCTGACAACCGAGCTTATCTCAGCTAAATGGGCTGCCGCGCCAAGTGAGGGCCGAATCCTGTATTCAAGCCCCAATGCTGTCCAACCTGAGCTGCTGTCGCCGGCACCAATTAGCCCGGCGTATGTAGTGAGTTCGTACTTCGAGAGTCCCAAGAATGTGTGTACAGCGGTCGCATCGGAAGCGGCGGCAGTGCATTGTTTGTCGGTGGGAAAATCGGTATCCAACGGAAGTGACCGACTACTGTGTTATCCACGGTGTTTGTATATGCAAAGGATATTTTGACGCGGAGCCCGAGCCATACATGTGCCCTCAAGCGACGTGGACCTGTTGGGTGAAATTCCACAAGTTCTACCTCCAAAAGCAGTTGTTCTCTACAAAAGGGCGGTTGCGGAAGACGTCTCAGCTTTACCAGGTCAAGGTTGGTTTACAACAACAACCACAAGCAGTTCGCGAACGAGGCCGATCCGTCGTGAGGCAAGTGGTGCTCTAAACATGAGGTACGACAGCTTTATGATTGTAGTAAGCCATGCGGTTAAGGGTATGACTGCTCAATGCTTTTATCTGTGGTGACCAGCCGTGTTAGATGGATTCAAATCTGGATGCAATTGCCGAGTGGTGCGGAGCTTGTCTTGACCTCAACGTCGAAGAGAACAAGCCCGATGCCGCTGTCGTTGGGCAAATCACTCGGGGCGGTTCTGCAAGGCGCGGATTGCATTTCTCCCGAGCCACTATATTGAAACTCCAGTCCGAATTCCAGGAAGAACATTAGCGACGCCGACTCGCTCATTCGCCGCGAATACAAGCAGAGAGCGACAATCGTCGACGTTGAATAATGAATAATGAAGTACTAGCTTTTACACGACAAGCAGAAGCAACCACGAAGTTCAATGAGCAGCACAGCAACGTATCACTTTACTTACCAATAAAGTCCCTGCTGCATCTTTGAACCCAAGCCCGTGAAAGCGCTCGACGACAGCAATCACGGAAGTGACTTCTGAAACAGCTTCTGGCCACAGTATCGATCCAGTCTCCTCGCCTCGATCTTGTTTCTTTCGCGGATCAATCCTCCCTACAACTCCATGTCAACATGGATTTATGCTGGCAGTGACTGCCCTCGCTGGTATATCATACGCATCAATGTTCCTTGCTTGGATCCGTTCACTTGAGTGAATGGGAATTCTGCATAGTTAAATCAAGTCATTTACACGTCTCAGACCCGTGTAAATGACTTGATCAAACTATGAATGATTTTCATTTGACTTTTCTAAAGGTGAACGCGAATAATTGCGCCATCTGAATATGTGCAATTATCTTCGATAAACTACACAATCCAGCCAGTTACTTCGTGACTATCGCCACTATGCTTCCACCGTTCACGGACCAAGCTGACAAGCTGCTCGTTCAGCTGGCATACGAGTATGTCAGCAAGAAACGACGTGTTGCGTGGTCTGAAGTCGCACGGAAGCTTCGCAAGCGCCGCATCAAGATGACGCCCAAGGAACTGGAGACTCGGCTTCGAACGCTTCAGCGCGCTCATGGTGTTGACTTGGCAAAGTTCCCTCCCTGCTTCTTTGGAGAATCCAAGCCGCGTTCGGTAGGCAAGGTTGCAAGTACTCGCGTGCTGAATTTCCAGGCAGCGTCACGTCTTCTTCTATTGATCTTCGGGTCGGTTACTAATGCTGAAGTTCGACAGAAGGCCGGGGCAATGCACGAGAATGCTGGGGAACCTCTCCCGCAAGCTGTGAATCAGGTGCTCGATGTTATCGGCACTGTTGAAGCCGAAGACATACTCCTTGACATTGGCTGTGGAATTGGTAACATTGTTGCCCAGTTCGCACTCCAGACTCGCGCACAACTTTGGGTGGGAATTGAAATCCGTTCCGATCTGTGCATTCTTCGTTACAAGTCGATCAACAGACATTCAAGCATGGAGTCATTGCAGAAGAATGTGTTAATCAGAAACGGTGACACTAAAAGCTGTGGTATATCTACGCGCCCACCGTTCTGCCTTGCGACGATCGTGTATTTTAACAGCTTTTTGTTCGTGGACAATGTAAAGCTCTCTGTGTTGAACGAGCTGTGCTTCCATCCTCGAGCTCGTTTTGTTATCGCGACTGAAGCATTTTGCCCCAGACATCGACCTACCTGTAGAAGTAACTTTTGCGCTCGGTGACAACTGCAACAAGTGATACGTGGATCGGCAAGCTGGACTAATAACCAGATAAACATATACATCTATAAGCGCATAGATAAATGACAATATGGCTGGTTGCGTTTGTTATCTATCCATCACACTCATGGACCCGTACAGCAAAAGCTAATTGATGGAAATGACCCCACGTGAGGAGAGTTCATACCGAGCGTAGGACCTGCACGAACACGAGCAACAGCAGCAACATTAGCACGGCGCCGGGCGAGACCATCGTGTGCACGAACGGCTTACCGGGACTCACGGCGACCGAGCACACACTCTAGACGTCACGTCGCACCTACACAAGCTTGGCGCTCGATCGCGAATCTTGTTTTGCGCGCGGTTTTTAGTTGGTCAGTCGGCCGATGAATAAATAATAAAATATTGTGTAATAAAGCTTTTAAATATTATCCAGAAGAATATGATTAATGTCTAATGCTTTTGATTGGTAGAAAACCCGAAAGGGGGCAAAATGCTCCCGTTCACTGACCATTTTAATGTTACATTCTTGAAATGTCGTCAAGGGGGGCACTTTGCCCCCCTTGACCGCGAAATGGTTAATTGGAGTTAGTTCGTAAATGTACCCTCGGTAATACTTTCGTTTAGCGTGCTCGCTCAACTTCGACTGGCGTCGAGACATCTAACTAAACGAATCCCATTGGTTAAAAACTCCAACCTTTAAGCAGGTTTGTTAGCATTTTTGCTAAATTTCAGAGCATCCTCGGGCGAAGCACGACGTAGTTGTGCGGATGTTACGCTCACGGATTGGGCTGTCCATCCCTCCTTTTTTCCCGGTATTTCCAATATAAAACGTAATTGCTGAGTGATACAGTTTTTTGTTATTGTTGTAGCGATAACCTTTAAACTTCGCGAGAAAATAACGAGTTGTTCAAACAATAAAAAGATGTCCATCTCGCGCAAAACTCTGGATATCAAAAACCAAGAGAACTGTTGATATTTACTTATGGGCGGAACTTACCCGACAATTATCTTGTTTTACCGGAAAGGGTTACATTTGAGGGGTACGAACAAGTTATTACAATGCATTCTGTGATTATACAAGCGATCGTTCACGGGCAATTCGGTCTGCATAAGGCCTTCACCAGCGCGGTATGTCTGGCAAGACAAGGCCCACATCATCGATGAAGTGTTTCATAGCGCTGCTATTGCTGTTTATTTTGTGCTCGCGCATTATTGAAGTCACATTTGTAAGTGCACCACCCTTGAAGAGGTGCTCACTTCGCATTCACATTAGCGAGCTTTAACTCTACATCATACTTGTTTGTTTGCTTGATTGGTTGATTCTTTAAAGGTATGAATCTATTCTAAGTATTATGCAAGCAAGGGTGTTTGGCTCGATGCCACCTTATCAGAAAGCCAATATCGAGGGTAGTATATAGAATACGACTATCATCATTAGAACACCGAACTACAATATATCTTCACTAACCACTAACCGCCGACGAAGCTGGAAGTTTCTTTTAATAATAAGATGCGGTGTATTGTGTTACTAGTGCCTCCACTTGAACTCTACTACGAAGTCTCATCCGACATGTACCTCCCAGCTGTGTCTTCTTCCTTCCTCCGGGACTTCATCTCCGACGAAGCTAGAAGTTATGCCTGTGACGGCAGCATACTCGGCACTGTCACCAGTTTGATGCCGCTAATGTAGAGATCTATCCTTTTTGAAGCTATTGATCGCTGTAGTCAAGCACACCTTAGATTACTTTGATGCTCTTCTGCACCATCAGACGTGCGCACGCTAGCTTAAGGCATTTTTTATTGATAGGAATGCAGTCTTAGCGCTGGACATCTGATCGTCATATACTTCGAAGTATAACGTGGGGTGACCTACACTGGCTGATACAGACTCTGTAATTGAAGATTGAAATACAGAGTGGATGCTTCCGCGTTTACGTGTGCTTGTAGTAAGTTGTGTTAGAGGATGATCCAAAGCTACTAATTCTGAAGGCGATTTAGGTAGCCTAAGAAAGATAACATGTTTGCTAGCCTCCCTTCTCCACCTTCTCCATAGACAATTCCAAGATCAGATTTTAAGTAAAGTCAACTCTGTGAGTCTAATAACGATTCATCGCTTGACTAACTCAAGTTTGATCACCGGAAGACTGTCCGGTATTTTCCGATGATCGGCGCATCTAACTTACAAGTTTGAATGTCAATTGTTGAACATCTCGGCAAATTCCGGCATAATCTGCGACCCTTGAAATCCGGTAAATTCCAGGTAATTGTAATTGTTCAAAACTTGAAAAAATTAAATATTTGCGGTGTTTACGGAGAGACGCCATCGTGATGACGCATTCTACGGCTGCTTGTTCCTTGCGTTCGGCCTGTTACCCCGTATATGCACCGTGCCACCTCATCAAAGGAAAGTATGATACCATCGTTGGTGAATAACTCGAGTAACTCACCCAGAGTGAGGCGGATACTATGCGACACCAAAGTGACGAACAATGGAAGTGATGAACGACACCCAGGCCTTCAAAACACTCACTTTCAACGAAGCTGTGTCCTCACGATAGTCAATAATTAACTCGGTGACAACCTCGATTTCTTTGTCAATGCGGCAAACAACTCGTCACAAAATCCAGTTTCTAGTAAGGAGAAGAGGCGACAGCCGGAGATAAATAAGCGCAAGAAGATTCCTCCCTGAGCTGATATCTACGGTGACTCCTCTAACGTTCGCAACCAGTGCAACGAGGGAGACTGACTTCCTGCGCCATCAACACATATAAATCTGAATTAGGCGATTGAGACCGCAATTATTGGACAGATGACTTCGGGATCAAGGCCCAGCATATGGAGGAGAAGGCGGTTCCTCGCTGTCTAATGAGAAAAACAGCAGCAGAGCGAACAACATCTATCACTTTGTTATTATCACAAATAAATATTTGCTGCTGCGACTCCGCAGCTGGTCGGCGAGAGCAGCTCCCTATTCCGGAGAGCTGCCTACAAAACGAACAATTCTAAAGCGGCGTCTTTATTTGGTTACACACTACCAAGCAAATTGTAGAAGTCTAGCTCCACGTTGGTCTACCAACAGCAGTTACCAAAGTAAAGGGCAACCAACGAAAACCAAACTACGTTAGTCTCCTCCATGAGCACACTTTGCCTGGCGTCGTGTTGAAAAACAATTGCCGTTGGAATTACTCAAACGGCCAAGCATCCTCGAGTCCCTTCTCGAAACGGTCGTCTTTCAAAGGCATGTTCCTCCTCTTCTTCTTGAAGAACCCAGTATCGAATTCGGCGTTGGCCAGTGCATAGCGCGCTTTATCAGTAAGCTGCTCCCACATAATTAGGTCCTGGCTTTCACCTGAGATCGTCGTGAATCGCAGCATGGGTCTAGGGCGTCCGCGTCCCTTGCAAGATTCGAGTTGCACGCTTGAACCATCAACATACTGCCTTTCAACTGGCACATATTTCTTACGGCGGAGACCAGAATTCAATGTCACACCCAGAATCGACGAATTGGTGGGTGAGGGATCATCGATCCAGACAACTGCAGTTTCCCAAAAGTGGCGACGTGGACTTCTGTAGGCCCAGCCTTTCGGGAGATACCAAGCATACATGATGGCCCACTTGCCCTTGTACCAACTCGATCGAGAGTACACTTGAGAGCCGAGATCCGAGCCGCCACATTCCCCATCAATTGGTCCAGTTCCTTTAAGCCCAGCGCTGACCGAACCATCAGCCTGAACGGCAGGATACGGGTGGCAACCGTATGAGACATAGACTTTCGGCTTGTATTTGACGGCGGCCTTTTCGGAATCGGTAGTAGGCTTGAGCTCATCAAACGGTTGGACTTGGTCATGGTTGATGTAGCTAACTTTGGCATGCACAGCGACTAGAGCCGCGATCATGGCAATTACGAGAGCTCGCCGATTCATTCTGCACAAAAGAATGAGTGGGCCAAGATGTGCGTGCAAAATGGAAGATTGACAAGTGATCGAAGTACCAGGCCATGGTTGCAACTAAAGTAGCCTAACCTTTAGCTCATTTATGGAATTGAAGGGCAATGCTTGCATGGAGGATTTGATAGGGTGATCAGTTTTCGTTATCACCTAGGTCCCTCCAAATCAGAATTTTGTTTAAACTTGCGAATCATTGGTTGTACTTTGTATCTAGCTCAAACGATATATTTATAACCTCATATATGAATATTATATTTAATTAAAATAAATGTTTACTTTGAATAATGAAAAAAAATATGTTTTCTCTGAAAAAATGCCATACCCTTACCGATATTCTTCTGTAGGGAAGTTCTTCCGATCTTGTGGCGTCGAACACCGTGTACCGTTCGGTTATGTACTAGAGAATGTGGCTCGTAGAGAATAGAATAAAGCTCGATTGCCACGACAATTAGTCGAACCTATAAACTTAAAACGTGAACCACGATGCACTTGGTAACCAAATTACCAAGTGCTTTAGGCTAATCAAGTTGGTTAGACGAACAGGATTGTGTTCATGGCCCCGCACTCATTAAACCTGTCACATTGATAGTGAGGTGACCATTGTCCACCTACGACTCGACAGCTTTCGTGTTTTCTAGCGGAGGATCATCTTTGATGGCGTGGAATGTTTTGTAGTACAATCCCACGTCATCAATGATTATCGAGTCCGCATATTCGGATGTAATTGCATAGTAGCCACAATTAATTTTCAACTAGTCGCTTGTAAAAAGCAAACACTCAAAAAGAAACTTGCAAAAAGGTAGATAGTTTAAACTCGACAAGCCACTCCCCACATGGCCCAAACCACAGGAAGAGTTTTTGCCTGGGTTTAGACTCGCACTTCTGAATGTTTTGGCTAGTTCTGCCTTACTGCCTGGAAAAATTATCTCCTAGCACGATCATAGTACAGAATGGCCTGGACGTACTTGATCTGGACTCGAGTGGTTGGACCACCTTAACTGGGTCACGTACGTTGGAGCAGTATCTCAACTATATATTGGTAGTTAAAATATATGAGTAAACGGCTGCTCTTAGATTTTGATTCACAGTCAATCTGGTTCACCAGTTTACCGTCATCCCGTAAGTGTTAATTAGTAGGCGTAGATGAGACTCTATTTAATAATTACCAGACATATATTTTCTTGACATCCGGGAATGGCAATTGCAAAATATAGCAATCATTTCATCCGCAATCTAGTTTCTAACATTCCAGAAGCCGGGGCGGCATTACCGATTGTGACCATCGGGAGATGAACTGAGCCCATTGAAAGAAAAGGCTTTGAGCATGATGATCATCCTTGCAACTTGTCCAGTGGTCGTAGCTGAAGCTTACAGTTCCATCATCAACCTCTGTCAGTGATAGGAATGTGCCTCCTTCACTTACCCATTCGACATCGTCTTGCGGATCTTCAGCTAAACGAGTGCGCTCGTTGGCCTTGCTGCTAGCAATAATCATGACATAGAGAACTTTGCGCTTCCCATTCGGCAAGGTACGAGTCAAACGACGTAGAAAGTAAAGGTAGCGAAGATGTACCGGGCCCGGGATGTTGCACACTAGCACGTACGCATCTTTCTCGAATTCCTGAAGGACTTGGATACTCACTTGGTCGCGCTGGTTGCGATTCCAATTTGGAGGTGTAGCGAGCAGTGGAAGCGCGGTCATTTTTGTCCTCACTAACGTCATGTTCATTTCGTCTAGCGAACAGGCGAAACGAATGGTAAATCTCGCATGACTGACGATCGATTTGTCTTCCCTTCGAGTTGGTGAAGCGCAATGCAAATTCCAGCCGAATAGCGTTCCAACTTGTTTAATATACGGCGGGTTTTCTCCGAAAATATCCACCGTTCGCTCGATAACATCGTCAAAGTGGTCTTGTGTAAAGGGATGGAAGTAAAAGGAAGGTTCGCCACGATGAAAATGCACACGCCAACCTGTCTCCGATGAGTAGGGGTGTGATACCCACTGTGACTTCTCGCTCGCTCCGTACACGTTTTCATTGCTGGAATCGTGGAACTCGGGGTGGAAGCCGTTTAGGTTTTCCTGAGTGAGTGAATGCAGACGTTTATGTTGCTGGAGTTTCATCCGATGTTGGGCGTATTCGGCACGAAGAATGTCGCTTTCGAGAATCAGCCGACGCAGGGTCTGACTCAGTTCGCTTTCGCTGGACTCACGGTGCAAGTGTGCGAGTTGCTGTTTGTACTGCAACTCGAGATGTGCTCGCTCATTCAGCATGGACTGAAGCTCGCCCCTCCTGTGGTTTCGCAGCCGTGCCATGCCTTCTCGGCGCTTCTCTCGCTTCCAGTCCAGCTTGACCTGCTTGGACCATTCTTGCATTATCGAGTCGGCCCAGGCGTGGATCTCCGGGACTGATGCTTCTGTTACCATGACTTGACGCTGATGTGATCACTACAAAACTGAACTGAGCTGCTGTGAGTGGTTCGTCGAGACCGAAGATAAGACATACAGCTGTGATACCATCAGTGACTGATCCCATCTGTTGCCTACAATCCAATGACGAAACCGTGCAGTCGGCATGCACATCTGCCACACCTACGCGAGGAATATCCATAATCCAGTACAAGCTCAAAATATATTTATTGAAAGAATACCTCTACGGAAAATGTCGTGCAAATCAGGTGGTTTGTATGGAATTCTTGAACGAAGAATTCCTTAAGTGCGAAAATGTCAGGAATACTAACCGTAAGATAAAACCTCAAAATGCAATCATTGCATCTTGCACGACGCGTTTCAAAGCGCTTTATCCTGTAAATAGAAACGACAGTTAACATTTTCTCATAGCGTTGTCTATGACTTAAGATCTCTCGCTAATGTCTTCCAGGACAAATGCTCTAACCATCGCTCTCTTCCCTTGATAGAGGGGATTGAGAAACGAAGACAGTGTTTTATCTGCGTGTACATCAGACCAGCGGCGCTGGTGGAATCATAACCTCGCCGAATACCTTCTTGCGAAAACAGAGCTTCGACAACTTGCATCCGGCGTTGAAGCGCGGTCAGTCGGACCTCCTTAACGCGGGTACCCATATCGTGTTTCCCCACCAATCGTAATGGCGGATTCCCTGCACACCAGTGCTGCCATATCACCTGAATCGTTCCTGCTGGGAACGCAAATCCCTCAGCAATCCTGAGAAAGCAATCTCCACATAGCTGAAGGTCTATCTGGGACGTGGCGCTGAATTAGCGCCAATGTTGTGGTGAGGCGTCTGTCTCGCGCCTTGATCGCCAAGTGCCAAGTTCGACCGAGCAGTGACATAGCCTCTATGGTTATCACAGAGTCATGCACACGCTTTTTCAGAATTATTTCGAACGTTCCAGCAAGTCCCTCTCTCATATCATCAATTCCAGCCTTGTAGTGCGATACGGTAACCATAATTCCTACCTGGGGAGGAATTCCCGATGGACTGATAGGATCATTAACTCTGAAAATACGACACACAACTCGATGTCGGGCCACTCAAACAGTGGCTGGTTTTGTATTGCATATAGAGAGGTAGAACAACACGTGAGTTAATGGTAGCTGTTCATTTAGGAAGTCTTTGAGATAAAGTGTAGAAGCCAGCCCAAATTGGCAAACCATTCGCAGCGATGAGGGTACACTCGGAAATACAGTCGTCATGACAACACAAAGCCGCTGCTGTAATCTAATCGCTTATCTTTATCACCGCTTAGAAGAGCAAGGAATGGTGGCAAAATTGCAAATTCTGGTGAATCAAATGGGATCCCAGTAGCATACCGCCCAACTACCATATCGCCGGCAGCTTCGGATCTTACATACTGGTCCTGAACGCCTGGCAGCGCCCAACCAGCTCTAAGACAAATCGAGGTAGCTGAGGGGCCAGATGTAGAGCAGCTACTAACGTACGTCGCGGCACCTTTTCTCGCAGAATGCGTTCCAAAGTTTTTTGTAACCATCCCATTTGCGGCCTATATATCTTCGACTACCTGTCTGCCTAATACACGTTTTAGCAACTTGATTAAGCGACTATATTGGTTTCCACCGGGATACAGCTTGCCATTACTAGCAAATCCAAGAACCGCAAAATGCATTCCAAAACTTAGCACAGGACAAATCTCGGACATTATAATTTATGGAGTATATTTGTCGAGGGTCTCGGGGACGACTACTATCTTGATCGTTTTCCATGTGTGCAAATGTTATAGCCACAGAGTCTTCACTCCACGAAAGATGAACATGCCTAATCGATTCTGTGCTTTTTGCTCGACACATCAAATTTCAACAAATCAACACAAATGAGTGACCGAATATATCCACCTTTTTGCTGGACTGGGTCAGTGCTTTTGCAACAACTCAGTACATCGAGAACGAAAAGGGCTTCTTGCCCTCGCGAGGGCGTTCATTACTGTCTTGGGCCACTTTTGCTACCGTATGGTAAAGTTCTTTAAAGAATCTCCTCAGTTGAATGTCAACGTCCGAAGGTCGAGGAAGCTCTGTCATAGAGCACAAATACACCAACGCATAGCGAACATTGCCAGGAGTTGATTTCCCCGAGACACCTCGTTGCTCCATCGAAGAAAGGTAGCGCATGCAGTCCTTAGTCATTAGCACACTAAGGTCGATTGGACTTGTAAGAGGCACTCGGTCAAACCACTGAGTAATTGTGCCGTTGTTAATCTGTTCAAGCTCAAGAAATGATTGCGTGAAGAGCACCACGCGATGACTGTCATCTGTATGACCATATAGCCAATCCGCAAAGCAAGCCAGCGCGCGAATGTGCACGTACTTTGTAGCACGAGCTGTAGTATTCTCCAAACCTTCCCCGACTCGAGCATCTAAAGCTTCCATTGCGACTGCTTGTCAATACAATTGTTATAACTTCTTTGGAAATAATTTCTAAATTAGGCTTCGTTCATTCTGCACGACGAATTCCATTTATCTATACTTCTATTTGGATTTTAAAATTGAATTATTAGTTTGGGGTATTTTTATTGGTTTCCAAATTCGTTAAAATTCTATTGTTGGTGAACAAGCTAATAAGACACTATTTTAATATGATCGTCTTCATTCTTACGACTACGAGCATGTCTTCGGTAAGTACTAGCACGAATTGTAGCTTTTTAGGTTGGGTCTTTAACTTTCAGTGTGAAACCGTAACGAGGTGGGTCTTGTATGCATGACTATTTGCATAGAAAACTGGTTCCAATGTATGTAATTTACTGAAATATTTATTTTAGTAAAATTGGGCTTATATTAATCGAACATTTTAATTTCACACCCCTGAGTACTAGAATACTGAATTTTGCGAAAGTGCGCTTGACTAACGAGTACTGTCCACAGTACACGTTAAGTTCGTAATGCGATCTTAATTGATATCACCACGTTTAACGGGGCAGGTACTGTTCAGAGTTGTAGTGTATTTTGATCATGATACGTTTATGAGGCTATAAATCAAGCAAACCCAACCTGCAATCGATAGCCTAGAGTTCTGTTTGTCTCGTACACCTTCTCCCATTCGCAACACTTCCGTGTGCTTCGAAAATACTGTAGTCTGAGCGCTTCATGTGCAGGGTAAGCACATGCGGAGGTCCTTCACCTGGCTTCTCTAGCTTGTAGGACGAAATGGAGAGGATGATCTCCAATTCGGATCGATTTAAATAGGGTTCCTCCCGCCGCCGAGTCACTGGTGGTTTGAATGTTGTATTCAATCCTCGCAGAGTAGGGGGGGGGGGGTCAGGTGCAGTTACTGCATCACTGATATCATTTCAGGCGTATTTAAACTAATACTTTAGTTTAAATTTTTCGCATAATACAACAGCCGTACTTAGGTGATGAAGCGATGACACAAG